CTCTTCGGTCGTGATTGGGACAAGCGTTTCGAAGTCACCGTGAGCTGGGATGATACACACTCCAGCGCAAACCGCACAGGTCGTGTTGGCTGTATGTGGGCAGAGTATGCCCATGTGCCAGCTGTGAAAGAGCTGCAGACATTTGCACCAACGTGGAGCGCCCTCACAAAGAATGATGATGGCCTCGTTGAAGGTTGGTACGATTGGTCAATACAGCTGTCTAGTCGAGCTACAGCTGAAGAGAGCACGGCCAACTAGAGCTCTGCCCAGAGCTGCCATTGTTTTTTTTTTCTTCTCTCCAGCTATAGCGGCCTCAACGGCTGTCACGCAGGCTGCTCGTCTTGTCTCGGAGAATTGAGACAATCTTATCGCTCAAGGTAATGAGCGTTGTGCCCTGCATCCCTCCCTGCCTCAGGCACTTTTGGCGTTGCGCCTCTCGGTCGATCGCTCCTTTTCTGGATAGCTCACTGACAACGGTACGCGAAGCGCTGGACTTCTACCACGACTCTTTCACTTTGGATTACCTTCTGGATGACAACTCGAGGAGTGCATGGCACGAAGCAACGATCTGGTCGTCGATCACATTCGCATGATGCTTTATGCTTGGCTATGTTAAATGCTTGGAAATGCTTGAGCCAAGACTTCATGCATAAAGTTTCCGGTCAGTGTACCTTCAGCCTCAAGTATCACTGCAGCCAATCCAATGCTTCATCCATCAAGCCACTTCTCGAAATGTATTGCCAATGGTCAGTGTAGCTCCTCGAGCTCTCCGTCTAGATGGTCTCTGGTGTGGAACGATCAACAGTCACAGCCTTGCCGGCGCACATACTTCGCGAGAGTCTCAGAACTCCTATCTGCACGATGTCCTTCCTGCTTCTCTCTTGACACCAGCCTCGCGCTCTGCTCGTGAGACGCTGCGACTAGAAACATGTCGCGCTACGTTTCGGCGCTGCTGCTTCTCGTGGGTGCTGTCGCGGCACAAGAGGCGACGACCACCTTCTCGCCGAGAAGCCTCACCAGCACACCTCTCATCACCGGATCTGCCATTATTGTGCCAGCACCAGCATACCCGAACGGATTCGCTGCGTCCGTCGTACGTTTCCCAGCTTCTTGTGTTATCATCATTGACCATACCACAGATCAGTGGTGATGTCTGCACTGCAGCATATGCGCTCACATGCACAGATGCCGGTCTTTGCGGTGCTTCAGGTCAGAGTTTCCATTGATGATGCGCTCTGTTAACGATCCCAGGCGTGAGCTTCACTGCAACTCGAGCACCTACCTCATACCAGTACATCGAAAGTGGTATTATCACGAGTCCAACGCTATACACATTTACTCGGCTTGTGCGATGCACCTACAGCATCTCAGCACTACCCACCTGCGGGGTGACAGTTGCGGTCACTCTTTCTGGAAACAGCTCAACAACAGTGACCACAGAAACCGACACTTCTCGGATCACATACATAACAGCGGCCATCACTGCTGGAGCCTCTCTTCCGTCAGGAGCATGTCAGGGATCCACATACCAGTACCAGGCTCTCGTTACCACAACAAGTGCGACAAGTACGACAGGTACAACAGGCACAACATCGGCTCAGACGCAGACTGCAACAGTGGTACCGTCTAGCTCGGGATCCTCAACCAACGTGGGCGCAATAGCTGGAGGAGTTGTGGGAGGAGTTGTACTCATTGTGATCATCGCTGCGATCATCTTCATGGTCCTGAGAAAGAGACGACAGATGAAGCCAACGCTTCCCGAGATGCAAAGATATCCGAATGGGCAGTAGCATGGACAGTGCATATCATGAACGAAGTATGCTCGTTAACGAAAAGGATACCCCAGCTGAATCATGCCTCTATCCACACAATGACGACGGCCATGTAGTAAGCTGAAGCTGAAGGTCAACTTGATCCTGGTTCCTGAGCCTTATCGATCTGCCTTGGCACTAAACGTATGAGCCTCACAAAAGCTGTCTGCAAGTGTCTGCAGTGACTTCGCCAGCCGAGGCAGCCTTGAATCCGCACACTGTGTGGCTGCAGCTTGAAAGGTGATTCCACTGTTCACCCTGTCCCTCGGCGTGTTCGAGTGTCTTAGTGTGATTCCTCGCAACAACAACTAGCTTTGTACTCGGAGTCGGAAACTTGAAGTTGTGTATTCGCACGCCAACATAGTGGCTGTACCGGCGAATGTGTCTCGAGGCAGATCATAGCCCTTCGGCCCTTGCCTTGCACAGCTCAGCTCGAATTCCTTGCAGGATGGTGTGTCGTGACGCTGACGTGCCAAGCATTTGCCATACCTTGTACGTTGCCTGATGTGTACGGTGGTTGTAGGTACATCTCCAACACAATGCAGGATGGCAGATAGCGGGCAGCACGTCGGACCTGAAGTAAGGCACAATTTGTATCGCAGCATGCCAGCTGCCAGCTCTTCGAATGCATATCACCTCTGCTGCTTGGCATCTATGGTCAGCTCTAGGCCAAGCAAGATAAGCAAAGCTGCCAGTAGGGGCTCAACCGATGAAGTATACATACACGTCGCCTCCACCAAGATATGCGAGAGTTAGCACGGGAGTGATCTCACATGGCAAGAGTATCTGCACCAAGATCTCGTCCGAAGAGTGGCAATGCCATTGAATTCTCGTAACATCTTCAGCCCTAGTTTCCCATGAATCATACCAATCAGCATACGCGTTGAAGGCCGACTCGGCCCCTGCTACCTCTCTCACCTTATATAGATGCTAGGCAGCCTGCAGAGTCTTATGGGGATGACAAGAAGGCACTGTCCAACAGTTCAGGCGCAGTGCCGCAGCGCGGCTGAAAGCTTCTCTCTTGCGGTCGGCTCGAAGCTTGGGGCCAACATAAGCATGAGCTTATGTAGGCGCAAGCACCAGTAGGCATCTAGAAGGCCTCTCTTGTGCAGAGAGATCGTAAGCTAACAGGAGTGTGGTGTATATGTGTCGTCTATCATGTATGACATGCAACGGGTCGGACCCTTGCGCACGGTTGTCCCTGGCTGCTGGACTCCGACAAGCCACAACACTTCCTTACAACCTCATCCGCCTACCTCGTCGCTCGACACATCAGCAGATGCTTGACATCCAGATCTAGCTGTAGTACAGCATTGATCACATGTGTATGGCAGTGGGTCATGCGTTCCATCACTGCTCTTGGTGCTCTGGCATCACTGCAATAATCTCTTATGCTTCTATGCCTGCATCGACGCAGCATCGCCGACACGCCTTACGACATACGACTGCGATGCAACAAAGGAACTCGTTGGAATTCGGTCGGTAGTCCTACTGTGTGATTGTCCTCAGCAGTGATACCACAGAGAGCATTGTTGGATGGTTGGTAAGTAGCAAGTTGCTCTGTTATACGGCTGCGATACAGAATGAACTTGACCGTGTGAGTTGTGGCCTCACTCCATCATGGTGAGCAGTCTCGACATTGGGAAGTGAGACATAAATAGGGAGTGAAGCGCCCTCAGATGTTGCGCAGAAGAGAATTAACATTTAGAAAACAAGAACTAGACAACGACAAGATGCTACGCTGGAACCCACTGGTCTGGACTACAGCTCTTCTGGCTTTGACACAAGTCAGCGGTAGAGTCATCCCAACAATCTCTTCCAGTACTTCGACGCCCTCGATAGACTCAAGTGCGGCAGCATTGAACTCCGTGGTTCCTGGTGAATTGCCTCGTGCTGCAGCATCGAGCTCCATAACTCCTGGCAACTTGCCTCTTGCCTTCGTCAACAATTTCGCAGGTGGCGCGATCAATGCCTACCTCACAGGTCAGGACGATCAGGGCAAAGTAGTGTTCGTCAAGAAGGATGGCACATTCTTTCGGCCTAGCACCTTTGGCGACGTTACTGAGGATGTCTCTATCCCACTTGGAGCACAAGGAAGCACAACTCAGCTCAAGACGCCTGGTTACATTCAATCTGGTCGTATCTGGTTTGCACAGGGTACTCTCAAGTTCGCTATGGATGGTGCCAACCTGGTGCAGCCATCTCCTCTCAATCCGAAAGATGCCAGTGCAGGTACCAATTGGGGATTTGTTGAATTCACATACAGCGCTGCGAGCGGCGTGTATGCCAACCTCAGCTTTGTCGACTTCCTTGGACTGATCCTTGGCATCGGCCTTCAGAATACTGATGGCAGTCAGCAGACGGCTAAGGGACTTCAGCCAGACAGTGTTTCGGCCATTTGTGGACTGTTGAAGACCCAAGGTTCAAAGGACGGTCAGCCCTGGGGCAGTCTCTGTGCGAACGATGGCAATGGCAAGCCGCTCCGTATTCTGTCTCCTGGGAACTACATTTCAATCAACAAAGATGCCTACTCAACGTACTGGAAGTCCTACGTTGATCAAGTCTGGCAGAAGTACACTTCACAGCCGCTCAAAATCGTTACACAAGCTGCTGCTGGCACTGTAGCTTGCAAGGTTCAGGGAGACCAACTCACCTGTCCTGGTGCGGCTCGCGGCTACGCGAAGCCTAATGCAATGGACATCTTTGGCTGCAACACTGGTCCCTTTGGAAAGCAAGCTGCTGACAATCCTGTCAACCTTGCCGTCACTTCCAGACTCTGTGCAGCCTTCGATCGATCAACTCTTCTGCTTGACGGTGGTGACACTCAACCGGGATCGACTGCGTACTACAACGTCGACCCAACCAACTACTACAGCAAATTTGTCCATCAACATGAGGTCGATGGAAGAGGCTACGCCTTTGCTTATGACGATGTCACTCCCACTGGCGGAGAGGATAAATCTGGTGTCCTTACCAATCCCCACCCGCAGTTGTTGACTGTTTATGTGGGTGGTGCCAAGTAGAGAGGAGGAGGAGGAGTGTCGAGTGAAGCTAGGATGAGGCAGCTGTCGTGACGAGAAGTACCTCCTCCTGGATGCTGCTGAAGACGAGGGCAGGTGAATGCGATGATGGGAGATGGTAACGTCTAGACGGACATGAGACCAAATTTTGAATGTCACTCACAACCTGGCTTCCGTAGTATAGTGGTAAAACATCGCTCTTCCATCTTTGAATCTAAGCGAAGTCACGAGTTCAATTCTCGTCGGTTGCAGTCTTTTTGCTCTCATCCTCGCACCCCGAGATAGATCATCATCTTTTGTCGTATGCTCGGGCGGGTGTGCGCAATGCCAGTTCATTGTCTAGCTTTTGGCAGAGACTCAGGCAATATGTGGATGTGTTGCCACTTGGCACAACAGTGGCTGACAGCGAGCGCGGAAAAAAGACCTTAGCGCTGGAGTATGAACGGCATTCCCAGATGTCTTGTGCAGCGCTCAACATCCATTTCATCCTTCATTGCCTACGCTATATGAAGGACAATCATCTGCTATCTCATGTGCTGCGTCTGGCTGTTGACACCACGAATCTTAATTCATGGTCCGAGGCCGACTACACGCTATAGTACTAGGAGGTGTATATCGTGACGTAGGTTGAACATCTAGATCTACTTCGCATATCTATCGTTCTCTTCTCAAACATATACACTCATTTTCATATTCTCGGCGAACTTCGGACTCATCAACCAACATGCCATCAATAGCGAGCCTCACAGATCCAAAAGCGTACCACATCCTCACGTATGGCACCCTGCTAGGTACGACCTTCTTCCAGAGCTTCATCGCAGGCCCGGTGGCGTTCAAAGCGATACCACGATCAGCATTCGCTCAGCTCCAGACCCATGTCACTCCGGTGTTCTTTGCCATTCAGAGCGTTCTGCCGGTGCTCATGGCTCTGACCTGGCCTGGCAACAAGTTGGCTTCAGTAGGATCGACGGGAATTCGTCACAACACCGGCATACTGGGACTGCTACAGAACGAGAACTTGTGGGAGGGCGCAGTTCCAATTGTCATTATGCTCGGTACTGCTCTGGTCAACCTGATCTACTTCGGACCAGCCACAACTCGAACCATGCGAGAGAGGAAGCACCAAGGTATGTCCTTCTGAAGCAGCAGTGGTGCATACTGATCATGAGTAGAAACCAGGGACGGTAAGAAGTCCACTGACGCTGGACCGCATTCAGCAGAGATGCAACGACTGAACAAGAAGTTCGGTGCACTACATGGTGCGTCCGCAGCGATTGACCTAGTGGGCTTCATCGCCATGATCGTCTATGGTATGGACTTGAGCGAGCGACTATAAGCACGCTCGACGGCGACTGTATTCTATAAACATGCAGCTTTGCGTCGCTGTCAACCCTGGCTCTGTTCGGCGCGACTCAGGCATTCGTCAAGCATTGTCCAGATCGCATCCTGATTCAGAGTCTTTGGAATTCGCACACCGTGTTTACTCGCCGTCGCCAATGTTTGACCGCATTGAGAGGTACCGGCTCGTACCTCTGCAGAGCTGCCATGCTCGCCATCCGTAACGACTGTAATGTCGTAGCGACCATCATCGAAGCATTCCGAGGCCAGAACGACGGCCACTGCAAGCGGATCATGCAAAGGAGGGCCTGCAGTGAGGCCAAACACTTCTGCGTATGTCTTTGCAAAGAACGTCAATATCTCATGAAACAGTATACGTGTTTCTGACCGTGCTCCTGACAGCTTCGTTTGCACGTCCTTTGTGGCGAGGAACTGATGTGTGAGATCCAGCGGTATCAGGACGGTCTTTGCCGCCAAGCCATGGTTCTCGAAAACCGCACGAGCGCTCTCAGGATCGATGTATATGTTGAACTCTGCCCAAGGTGTCCAATTGCCAAACCGCGGGCCATGGCCCAGTACATTACCTAGCTGAGCGTCTGTAAAGCCGTCACCAATGGCCCCACCCATGATGCTGAGGCCGGCAATGTGATCAATCAGTGCCGGATAGATCGAGAAGAGAAGGGCAACATTCGTCAGTGCACCAGTTGCCACAATCCATGTGCTCTGTGGCAATGTCGCAGAGATCACGTCGTACATGGCTTGGACAGCGGGCTTGTCGTCTCTCGCAGGCACTGAAGGCACAGGTAGATGTGAAGTCCCGTCCAATCCAGTCTCACCATGAATATCTGGAGCACAAGCAATCTCTCGGCAGTACGGTCGTGCTGCGCCAGTGTATACCGGAACATGCTCCTTGCCTATTGCCTTGAGAATTGCCCTTGTGTTGTATGTTGTTCGCTCTAGAGGCGCATTGCCGTACGTGGTGCTGATGCCAAGAAGATTGGCTCCAGGGTGATATGCTGCAAGCAAAATAGCATAGGCGTCATCGTGCCCGGTGTCACAATCGAGCCAGACGTTCATCGTAAAGACTGCGTGGTCCTGTGTCGTGGATTAGATAAGATGCAGCAGACACTGGTCACACTGAAGGATAGTCTCAACGACTGTCCAGCGACTCACTGTAATGACTGTGAGTTCGGAAATGTTTTGCAGATTGTGGCACAAAGATCGGCAGCGGGAGTTTCCGGCTAGTGGCATATGCTTCAGCCTGGCTGGCATTTGTGGTGAAAAGGATGCCAAGTGGGTGTATAGATTTCTAGATTAGCAAGATGATAGAGAGTTTCGTACTGGCGCTGGAGTCTGCTGTGCCGCCTTCCCAGGGTGATCTGCTTCCTTTGATCATGTGTAGTGGCAGGAGCACGAGGGGCTTGAGTGCATGCAGAGGTCGTGGCTGCTACTGCTGCTGGTCATCTTCCGCACCAGTGCTGGTCTGCGCAGATATCGTTGCGACATCGCAGCTCGAGCTGCAGATGTTTGCCGATACCAGTCTATCATGGCGTTATGTCGTGTTGACCGTCTCTGGGAAAGTGCTGCGTGGTCAGCTTTATGTGCGTCGATCAGCCTGACCTTACTTCCATAGCACGATGCTCGCCATTCTGGTGTATGCTGAGTTCCAGCCAGTGCCTGCGATCTCGTTAACGAGCGTACCAGCCTCAGGAGGGTCGGAGACGGCCAGGTCTCTCCGATGAAGGTGCCTAACACTTTCGGTCAGATTTCGCAGTATGTGAAGCTGAGGTGGACCGATCAATGTGAGCCATCAGTGTTGTCAATCGCCGTAGTGCGCCACTGTCAGGTACAGTACACATCCATTGTATACACGCCGTGCAGGCAATATCTATTCTCAACTGCTCTTCACATAATCGTACATGCGCTCAAGGACGCACAACACGCAAGCCGTCTCGCGAAGGTGCAGCTGCACGCTTGAAGCTCTGTGTCCAGTTAGCAAACCTCGAGGTAAAGCTGCTGCAACCTACCGAATCACATTCTTCCCAAGCTCTTCCTGCACCAAATCCAAGACCTGTGAATACCGGCCATGCTCTTCGCTTGAATAGGAGGACCGAGAAGATGACACCGAAGGACGCGCCGAGGGTGCTTCGAATGAGGAGTGTGCTGAGGCAGTGGTCCCACTGAAGCACGTCAGCTTGCGTTCTGCCATTGGAACATATACTCACCTTCTCGTTAAGCAGCGCCTCACTCAGCGGTCTGTTTGGTCGTGCCGCAGGTACCTTCGTCGAGTCCATGGTGTCGGGTGTGTTGTTACTGCGAAGAAGTCGCAAACCTCAAGGAGAGCTTTCGGAGACGTTCGGACGCTCGGACCATATCAAAAAGTTACGACTTCAAAGTGCTCGCGTTCTTCAATCTGTATGGAGCGCTCTTTGGACCAGCTCAAGCAGCTCGATAAGTTGCCTCTCGATGAGCAGTTGGCCGTCGCCAGCGACCTCTGCAATCATGCTCATCGTGCGGACATGATCATTAGGTGGCTTCTCGCCAAGTTGAGCCAATATCATACACAGCAAGCATGGCAACTGCTCACAAAATGCATCCGCCTCGTTCAGCCTGCACTGCTACCTTCCCGACTGAAAGGGAGCACTCTGCTGGAGCTCATCATTAAGCGTCCTGTTCCAGCGATGGATGACACTCTGAGAACGATACTGTCGGTCCAGCCACAGATACTAGCGGTCGAATCATTACTGGCAGCAAGGTTCTTCGCAGTATGGGCTCCTGAAAACATAGATACAGCTCTTCAGGTGTGGGAGCTACGACGATCTACAAATGATCAAGACTTCAGCGAGCATTGCTTGCTGCCTGCTGCGCGACTGTACACGCAAGCTAGCAGAAAAAGGCGTCATGAGCATGGCTCCCATGCTGTTCAGCTGGAACGTCTGATCGCCAAGCATGTGTTCCTGAAGTCGAGAGCAGCATTCCTCAAGCATTCGGACACTTCAATCACACTGCAGCTTCGAAACCTCGACCAGTCTGTGTTCCCAAATTTGTTGAACATCGCCATCAGGTGCGGCTCGATCAACACACAAAGACAGATGCTACAGGAGATAGCATGGAATGATGTTGTCTTCAACACTCTTGCCGAGCAGGCTGATCTCGATACGATACTCAAAATGCTTGATGTGGTCAAGGAACGATCTACACTGTCCATCGGAACCTTCCAACGGCTGCTATCAACACATTTTGATTGGAGCCTGATCATCAAAGTTATAGCTATGAACCCCCGTGTGTTCACTGAGCTTGGCCGACTATTCGACGCTATAGCTGAGGATCCACGACCGGAGATCAAAGATCTAGTCATTCTGCCAATTATGCGTGCCTTTGCCGAGGACCGACGGCTTCCAGAGTTCCTTGATCTCTGGCAGGGACAAGTTGGGAGGTCACCAGTTTGGTTCGAGCTTGACGACGCTCTAAGGTCCCTTCTTGAGGAGCATCTCACATCGCAGCAGATCTTTGAGCTGGTCAAGGCACGACTGGAAAGTACGGAGAATAGCAGCGCTCTGTACATTGTTACTAGTGCCATCCTCAGAGGAATCACCAACACGGAGACACTGGATTTGCTTGTACCAATCGCAAAGACTGTCTATGACCAGTCCCAGGACTATGAGACAGTAGGCTTTTGGACTCTAGCACTCCGTCTTCACGAGATATGCACGCCCAAGGATGTCCGCACAAAGCTCTTAACAGCGGGCTCGAGGTGCGCCTGCAAGTCAGGGACCGTTGCTCTGGAGGCCGCGTTATTTACAGCTCGATTGTGTCAGATACATGGTGAGGGACAAGCTTTTCTGCGGAAGCTCAGCAAGGCCTCATACAAAAATGCTGCCGCAGTGCTCATCAGGTATCCTTCACTTATCAT